GCAAGAGAAACCACCAGCAGTGTGAAGAGACAACCCACAATGTGGGAAAAAAATCTTCACCTGCTGTTCCTGAGACAAAAGTCTACTATCTCGAATCTATAAGAAACTTAAAAAGATCAGACCTCCCAAATTTAAAGACCTAATTCAAAAATGAGCATCTGAAATGAACAGACATTTCTCAGACAAAGAAGTAGAAAGAGCAAATAAACATATGAAAAAGCGTTCAACATCACTGGTCATTCAAGAGATGCAAATCTAAACAATGCTGAGATTCCACCTCACTCCAGAAAGAATGGCTGCTATCATGAAATCAATCAAAGGCTTTATTTTCATTTCAAGACCTAAAAATCATTTATTTACTAATCTACTTCAAGAAATATTAAGAGTACTGACTACATATCTCACAGAATTGTTGTGTGGTGTAGGATTTAGCAGTGAACCAAAGTCCCTGCCCTTCTGCAGAGTATATTTGGGGGTGGGGGTGGAACAATAGACAAATACAGATCATCATAGATTGTGATGAGTGCTGTGGATAAAAAATAGAGTTTAAGGGGGATTGAAACTGTTGAGGTGAGAAAGGGTGCTCTTTGCTAGAATGTGGAGGACATCGTCTCTTAGGAGGTAGAATTTGAGCAGAAACCTCAGGAAATGAGGGGTATTTAATAAGAATAGCTAAAGGAAGATGATCCAGTCAGGGTGAAGAGCAAGGAATGCTGGGAAGTTGGCATGGCTGAAGGAATGGGTGGAGATGGGGCCTGAGATTGCTGGGGTCAGGTTGTGGAGAGTCACTGAGGCAGCACTGTCAGAGCACTAGGAAAACCTCTGAAATTATTACACTGGTAGAATCTTGGTGATTTAGAATAACATAGGCACCTTAGCACAATGTCTGACATAAAGTTAAACAGTATCTTTGCTGTCACAAGATAGATATGCAAGTCATATTTTTAATAGAAGTTTCTTCCACTTCTTCTCATAAATGAGCTGTCAAAAAAACAAATTGTTTCCCTCTGGAGCAGCTAAATTAAAATCATTTAAGTTTTAAACAATCGTAACACATTCCTATAGTTGAAAAATGACTTTGGTCATTGACAATCTTTGTCAAGCAATGATGCCAACACATTGGAAACAGAAACTACCTCAATGTTTTGGCTGAGTCTTTTGACGATGCTGGTGATGGTCTGGATGTGGCTTTCTAACAACTTCCTGGCAAGCGACTCCTCTTTCCGAAAGCCATGGGCCCCCTGGAGACAAGCAGAGATGTCCTCCTTGATGCGAAAGGCTTGTTTGAGGAGGAAGGCTATGGTGCACTCCTGGAGATTCAGTCTGTCTTCTAGCTGACTTGTCTGGGGTTTGGCAATGACAGGAAGAAAAGAACGACCCCTGCTCAGCAAAAGGAAACAAGGAGCATTAGGAGAATGAACTGGAGGAGCCAGGAACCTAATTCGCACTCTCAGTGCTACTCCTTTATTGAGAAAAGAGGCCTGTAAGCATTTACCTAGTCCAAATCTTGGTTATGTCTCCTCTCAGATGCAGATATGGCTCATGCCTTGATCTTGCATCATGCATATTTTGTTTTCTAAGCAGGAATTAGTCTATATACAATGATAAATTTTTAAGCCAAATTGGTCATGGTTGGGCAGGGGTGGGGGATCCATAAAGGAAGTTTTCAGAGGACTTCTTCATGACTTATGCTTTTAAAAACACTTGTCTAAAAATTTCTACTTTAATGTAGAAAAATTTAAGTTATTATATCTTTAAAAATGCAAAACTGAGGCCAGGTGTGGTAGGGTAGCCTTTAATCCCAGCACACTAGGAGGCTGAGGTAGGAGGTTCAAAAATTCAAGCCCATTATTGGGTGACTATGGCCATTAATCCCGATATGGTATGTCAACTTCAGTAAAGGAGCCTACAGATTAGGTAAGCATGCTCCTGGGTGTATCTGGGTGGGTCATGGAAATGTGCCTTCAATACTACGCATGGTCCCTAACCTGCTCCTCTCTAGTACTCTCCCCTGCTCTGCTTCCTGGCTGTAATGAGCTGAGCAATTTTGCTTTTCCCTGCATTTTGGCCATGTCATTTCTGCCTTGGAGCCAGTCCACTATGGACTGAATCCCCTCCAACCATGAGACAAATTAAATCTCTCCTCCTCTAAGTTGTGGGTATTCAGTGTTGTGTCCCAGCAACAACAAACCTGATTGATACAACATCTTACATATATTGTTTCAAGTAAAAAATAATAAAGGGCTGCAACTGTAGCTCAGTGCAAAGGCCCTGGGTTCAATCTCCAACAGTATGCCAGAGAAAGAGAGAGAGACAGAGAGAGAGACAGAGAGAGAGAGAGAGACAGAGAGACAGAGAGACAGAGAGAGACAGAGAGAGGGAGGAGAGAGAGAGAGAGAGAGAATATGTCTTGAAATAGTAGTAAGCTAGGGAACTGAAAGAGAATTTAATGATCAAAATTGGAAAATATTGCATAAAATATACTTCTCTTGGTAATTTACATTGTACTGTATATTATCATAATAATGTCTAACACACTAATTCTATAGATAAGGAAAATAGCTCATGTAGTAGTTAAATAACTGGTCCTGGGTCGTTGCTGAAGCACTTTATTAAATTTCTCTAAGTGCAGGTCACTTTTAAAGCTCCTGTTTGTACTGATTTCTGACCTCTTACCAGGTCAGTATTCCATTAGATCTATATAACAGAGTTAGCAGTTTACTTTACATTTTTCTGTAATGCTGTTGCATTCTGGGAACTTCTCATCTCATGGCCCAGTGGAGGGGGGCTTGGGTGTTCTCTCCAGTCTTATCTGTGTAGTACAGTGAGCTTCTGCATGAGCTTTCATTTAAAGGAATGCTTCAGTGTCGCAGAACCATGCATTTGGCAGAGCCAAGATTAGATCCAGCTATCCTGAAACCTAGCCTAGGATGATTTTCATGATGCACCCTCTGAGTGGTGGCAAAATATTTTATGAATATCCACAGGAGGAGGAGGAAGCTTTAAAAGGAGAGAGGATTGGCATTTTTTAAGGCCTGGGAATAAGATGATGAATAAGACAAAATTCTGTCCACTAGGAAATGTATATTTATATCTGTATACTTAGGTGCATATAGGCAGATGTATACATGTATACATCTATATATATATATATATATATATATATATAGATGTATACATATATAGCTATACAGCATGTATCTTTTAAAAATAGCAATTGTATGTGCTGGATCATAAAAATCCCAGGCCAAATAGTTCACACTTATTTCTACTGCATGAGTCACATGACCTATGCTGTGGGTTAATATTTCCTTGGAAGTAAGAATGGCCTGAGGACAGATTTTGGGCCCAGATTGTGAATATTAGTGTTTTCTGAAGACTGCAAGTATCAGCTACTGTTGTATTTAACTGGGTACAACAGCAAACCTGAGAGTGACTTAAGCAAGTAGGGCCTATGTGGTTTGTGTAACGCTTCTGGAAGTAGATGATCCAGGCCTGGGCCATGGACCAAGTTGTCACCAAGCACTCAGTCGAGCAGGTACTCAAGCCTAAGCAGTGAATCACTGAAGTCTGTGTCATGTGTGTGCAGATATGGGGCTGACCTTGGCCCCCAAATCACCCCTGAAATGCACTTGCTCTTTATTCTACCCACTGCTTTAAAGGGGCAAACTGTTGCAACAGCTATGTGAGTGAACTGCCTTCAGAGAAGATCCTCAGCTTTCGGATGGCTGCAGTCTCCGCTGTCATGTTTACTGCTGCCTAGTGAGACACCCTGAGCCACAGTTACCCAGTGAGCCACTTCCAGGTTCCCAGCCCACAGAAATTGGGAGATAAATATTGCTTGTTTTGTGCCATGGAGCTTGGGGATATTTTGCCACCTAGCAGTAGAGAACGAATACAGGCAGTAATCTATGTGAAATATGAGAGGCCCTGAGACTGAGATGGTGCTAAGAAGGTGACAGAGAAAGAGATGAGGCACCTTACAGAGATGATGGACCTAGAAGCTGTAGAACTTTTGGAATATATTGGAAATGGACTTGGAAAAGATAGAGATTCTAAAATTTCTGATTTGGACTTAATGAAGATGATCCTTGGATCAAGATTGAAATTTATAAGAAAACAGATTTAGGAGGAGAAAATTAACTTTGAAATATTTATAAGGCAGCCTTAGAAAGCCACTCATTGAACAGCCTGAAAGTATCTACAGAAATTTCAATTTTCTCAGAAAGTAAATGGCAGCTGAAGACTTGGGTGAGGACAGTGAGACTGGCTGAGTTGGAGGGACTGTGCCTGTGTGGCAGGGAACAGACATTTTTCAGAATCAGGTTCAAAAGGAGAGTTACACCCCTGCTGTCCATCTTGGCCTCTAGCCCATCCCACTGTCCATCTCTCCCCTCCTTGAACAGCCACTGTCTGGTGGGGGCATAAGGCTGAGAATCGACGGGGCGAAGGGACTCACAGAGCGGACCTTGGTCCTGTGGAGAGTTGTGCTGTCTTTCTTGCGAGGGGTCCTTGTGTCTCTACAGAGCCCTCAGGTGAGGCCACCTTCAGGCCATGCCACATCACCATTCAGTGCTGCCTGAGGCTTCAGAGAACTCACTCAGCTTCAGCTTCCTTGGAAATTTGAGGCCTTCGTGAACAAGAGAGTTGGGAGCTGGGATGACCATGTGAGCTACCATATGTCTGCTCCAGAGGAACCTGAAGGCTCATGTGAGACCAAGCACAGAAGAAAAGGAACAGAATTACACAATTCTTCAGGCTCAGAATTCCTGGGTTGACCAGAGTCTTGATCCAAATGCTGAATTAGCATGCCTACTGCCTTCACATCTCCTTTCCCCCCCTAAGAGCTTGGAGGGTCCAGAAAGAAAAAAGGGAGGAGAAAAGGGGGTGTGGAGGGTTATTTCAAGCTGGTGAATGAGTGGGGTAGTGCAGTGGGTAGTGGGGCAGCCAACTCCTCTTTCAGGCGTGTGTGGGAGAGCACCCCATTGATTATGCCCAAAGCAGGCTATAAGCAGTGCAGGCTGTAAAGAGTTAACCCCGCACTTGGCTTGTTTATAGAAGTGAGTCTGGCCGAAGCCTATGTATGGAGTTCAGAGTGACTCTTACCCAAATTCCATTTCCAGAGTTAGAATCTTCTTTACTAAAAAGACAAGGTTAATTATTAACCACAACCTGTATTTTGTGTGTTCTGTCCCTAATTCAAGAATGCTTTGTCTCTTCCTTTACAAGCCTTGCCTGCATCAGTAATGTATCCATAGCAACTCCACTAGTCCCTCCATGTAGTCCCTTTACCTCCATCTAACTATGATGTCACTAATAAATATCGACAGCTCTGGGTGTTCAGGGCCATTGATTGTTCAGCCTTACTTACATGAGCATTGGTCATCCTGGCTCCCTGCATCTCTGTCTCTTTAACTCTGTCTCTTTAACTCTGTCTCTAAGTCTTTCTTCTCGCATGTATTATAGCGCTGGGCAGGAGACTGGAACCTACCACGGGGGTCCCTGACAGTCCTGACTCCCCTCAGCTGTTTGGAGACCTGAGAGAGTTGCCTGGCCCAGGTCATGCCCGCTTCCTGGCGCTACCTGTATTCAGTGACTGGTCAGTGTGCGGCAGGCACACTTTCTGTGACTAACTCAGACCAACTTTGAAGGGCCACCTCAGCATCAGGGCTCCTGGTAGATTTCAGCTGACATCTTCACTGGTATCACAGTGTGGCTCCTTTTCATTCTGCCTGATCCCCTCCTTTACATACATGTTGATCTCAGTGTGCTCTAGAATGAGGCTTCTTTTCACCAGTCTGTCTCAGAGTCTCTTTCTCTGGCATCCCAACCTGAGCCCAATGGCTGTATTGGCATGGGGCAAGAGACAGCCCAGCCTGGGTGTGGGAGCATGACTTGGGAAAGAGGATATGATGTAAGTTTGCTCTTGCTCAGTTGCCTTGGGGAAAACTGCTCCTACTTCTGTGAAATTTCAGACTCTGGTATAGGTATCCTCTAGAGAAAGATGAGGAGAGCAGATGGCCTCTATAGGTGAGGAAGCTGAAATAACAATAATAACAAACTTGAGGGACAACTGACTTTGAGCAGTTGCTTCTGAGCAATTCCACCTGAAAAGGCCTCTCCTGACCTTGCTGCTCTCTGAAGAGCAAAAAGGGAAGACCTTACAGAAATTTTCTTCAGAGGTGGAGGGAATGATTGTGGCTTTCTGGAGCCTGGGGTTCATCAGCACCTTCTGTTAGGGCTGTGTCTAGATGTCCCTCCAAAGCCTCATGCAGTCATAGCCACTTTTTCAGCCACCCTTTTCAGAGGTGGCTGGATCTAGACTGTGTGTCACTGGTATTGATTCATGCTACAATGCTAGGATCAAGGGTGCTAGCATT